TGCCAGCTCTGTGGCCACCTCTGCCACCGCGGTCACCACGTCCACCTCCTGCTCCTCTGCCAGCTCTGTGGCCACCTCTGCCACCGCGGTCACCATGTCCACCTCCTGCTCCTCTGCCAGCTCTGTGGTCAACTCCGCCACTGTGGTCACCTCTGCCACCGCGGTCACCTCTGCCACCACGTCCACCTCCTCCTCGTCCACCACTATGCCTTCCTCATCCTCCTCGTGCTCGGGGCTGCACTCCGAGCCATCCTCTGCTCTCTCCAGCTGGCCAGCATCTGGGGTGTCCGGCGTCATGCGCAGGGCCGCCATCTCCTCCTGTGGCCTCAGCTCGGTCTGAAACACAGAAGCCCCGTAGGTCACCCTGTGTCCCCACGGGCAGTGACCCGGGCAGGGACCACTCAGCCCTGAGGGAGGCAGATGTCACTCCTCAAGTCTCCTCAATAGAGGCTCTGAGGCTGGAGGAGGAGGGGCCTCCTGTGATACAATGTTACCAAACCACAATGCTCTGAACCTCCAGGGGGCCTGAGTCCTCCCCCTTCAGGAACCCCAAGAATGTGGCTCTGGTTCCCTCCTCTGAGTAATCAAGTGCCTGGTGTGGACCAAAGCTCTTTCTGGGGGGGGGGGCGGATCGAGTACTTCTCCCCAGTCTTTAACCCCATGGCACATAGCACAGAGTCCAGGGGACCTCGTTTTGATTTCAGGATGTCCAGTTGTACCGAGTGTCCTCACACTGACCCAAGGTGCTGATGGGCCATGCACACAAGGATGGGGCCGGAGGTAGGGCCAGGGGTGTGGTCCCAAGCAATGGCGGGTACACCAGGTAGACCTGGGACAGGGGTGGGGTCAGGTCAGGGGTTTCTTCAGGTCAAGGTCAGCTTGGTGTCCTGAGGCAGTCTGGGAAGCCTCCTGGGAGAGGGAACTCGCCCTCCACCCTCACTTTGTTGTGGACATTTGGACAAAAGCCCAGAGGTTCCAGGGTTCTGGTTGTAGCCAGATCAGCGGAGGGGACAGCGCACGCCCTGGGACATTTCTCCAAGGAGACCATTCCTGGCCCCACGGTAAGACTCTTGGGGTGCCCAGACCACCATACGCCAACCTTGCAGACGCTCAGGGGGCTCACAGTTACCTGGCCATGGACCGGGTCACAGTAAGGGTGCTGGGGGCTGCAGACATGGGGCGCCTTGTCCCCAGCCGCGGGGCTCCACACAGTCACTATCATGGCTCCAACAAGTCACTTCCTGTGGTACAGGCCCTCAGCAAGCTGCCTGGCCAGGGCCATTTCCAAAGGCATGGAGCGCAAAGGGAGACACACACACTAAGAACACACCACAGCCCCCGGCAGTCCTGGGGACACGAGTGTCGGTCAGGGAGGATCCAAAGTGCCCGGCCTTGTGGCCACACAGGGCACCTGGGCAAGCTCAGTGGCTGCACAGTGGACAGCATCCACCACAGGCGCGGACACGGCAGGAAGGTGCTCCTGGGTTACGGGGCCACAGACCAAAAAAGGTGCTGGGAGCGGCGCCCTGGCCCTGCGGTGCTGGCTTCACCGAGAGCAGGGAAGCGGGTACGGCAGTCTCTCCTGCCCCAGAGCTCAGACCACAGACGGGCCCGGGCACCTGCAGCCCTCCCAGCTGCGATGGCACCAGCCCTGGTGTCACACCCTCACCCCCAGGACTTCTTTCCAGACCAGACAGAATGCCTAGGAGCTCCCCATTATCAATTTCCACCAGAGAAAAACAAGTGATAAACATAAACTCAACTGTCAAGCTGGGTTTCCGAGGCTGCGAACTGTTGCAGAGACCACCCAACTTTCTGCGGTGGAGCTGCTAGTGAACTTACACTGCTGTTCTCTGGGTCAACAGGGTTCATTCGCTACGGCCCACGCCACCTCACACCCAGAACTTACTACCTAGAGTAATAAGTCGTCGTCTTGTTGTTGTTTGGTGTTAAGAATGACTCATCGCGACCTTGTGAACAAGGTCCTATCTGCCCTATCCTGTGCAATCCTCACAATCTCTGACCACTCAAAGCCATGACGGCAGTGACTGCGTCAACCCATCTGATCCATCTTTCCAAGCACGGTGTCCCTCTCCAAAGAAAAACTTCTCATAGCAGCATGCCCAAAGTATGTGAGAGGAAAGTAATCTGTCTTAGATGATCTGAATATCAACAACAAAAATGTCTTGCACAATCTTTCTGCACTGAATCACAGGTCTACCAGATGACACCAGTTGCAGAGTAGAAGTGGCTTCAGTTCTTGGTTCTCACCTTCTTTAATTACTACTTCATTCTCAACAGACGTTATTGACAAGGGTTCACAGACACTAATTGTCACAGTATTGTAGCTAAAACACGAGAAAATGTTACCAAAGGGGCAGCTATAAAAACACCAGCAGCAAAGGTGACACACGAACGAAACCAGGCGATTAAAGGCATCCTGGGTACCAATGACAGCTCAGGCCAGAGAACGTTAGAAGGTTCAAAAATAAATCAGCAGAGTTTTAGCTGTGTGGGTATATTGATCCACGAAGCCAGACTCAGGAAAGTCGCTTTTGCTGTTATAATTAACTACAGGATGTCTCTGTTAAAACAAACGGGTTCCTTCTGACGTGCTGTATGCAAGTTTTACAGTCATTTTGGCATCACCCCTTCTCTAACAGTGTCACCCAGCGTCGCCTGCAACCCACAGCCTCCTGATGACACGACTCAGAGGCTGAGCCCACATCCAAGCCCAGGCACACAGACGCCTGGAAACCACCACTGTCCTTCCCCACACCTTCAAGGCTCTGGCCCCCACGCTAGATCCAGAACTCATGGACTCCAAGGTCCGGCCACAGACCATTCTTCAGAGGGCCATCCCAGCCTCTCTGGAAGCTTCCACAGCTGACATGAAACTGTGAACCTGTCTGAGGTGCAGGTATGTGACCTCCAGGAGCATGCAGCCCTGCCCAGCCTGCAAGGCATGGTAAGCACAGTTTTACGACAGCCAGCCACCTCGCACCCTGAGGTGCACCTTTCTCACCCAGGCCTCAGGCTGCAATTCAAGCGGAGCCCAGACACCAGGCCAACACAAGCAGAGCTGTCTGTCTCCTGCCTGGCAACCACCCAGAGCAGCTGCTTCTGACTCCCACTGGCCAGACTAGGATCCAGCAAAATAAAATGCCGTAAGTTCAGAATACAGCAACCTCACGCTAGCCCACCTCAGGGCCTTTGCACGTACGTGCCCTGCTCTCTCTAGAATTCTCATTTCCTCTTCACTGATCCCCAGGCTGCTTCCAGGGCTTCTTACCACAGAAGGTCCTGTTCACTCAGACCCCTGCACTCTTCCTCATGTGCCTATCTGTTCACTTTATAAAAATAAAAAACCCTTTTAAAAACACATACAAAAATTATTTTAAAATAAATAAATAAAATTTTAAAACACCACAAAAAATAGCAGGTGGCCGTGAATGCCTCCTCATAGAGACCCTGCAGTAGAAGGGCCTCACAGGTCTTATGAGGCTGTAACCGTCCCACAGGGTGGTGCAGTGGCTAAGCGCTCTGCCTCTAACTGAAAGGTTGGCGGTTTGAACCCCCGAGATGTCCTTTGGGAGGAAGCCGAGGCAGCCCGTAAAGACGTCAGCCTCAGAAAGCCGAGGGGGCAGCTGTGCTCTGTCCTCAAGTGCAGTGACCAGCCGGAGCTGATGTGGTGCTCGGGGGGTTTGACTTGGAGTTTTGGAATCTTCCCAGAAGCAGACTGTTAAAAGCCAAATGCTTACCCACCCAGGTCCCCAGGGCTCTACTGCTGTTTTACTGTTGTTATTGCGTGCCCTCTTGTCAGAACTGACTCCTGGCTGACCCTGCGGTGGGTTTCCAGAGGCAATATACCCCACAGGAGGAGACTGCTCACCTCACTCCCACAGGGAGGCTGATGCCTTTGGGTGGCACCATGAGGCCTTCCCACTAAGTCACCTCCACACATGGATTTTATACACTCAGGGATTAATCTGCACACACCGTCAGCTCCAGGAAGGCAGGGGTCTCTGAACTTCACACACACACACACACACACACACACACACACACACACACAGAGTCTGTGCTCGACAGGACAGATATGTGACCTGCAAACATGGCCTTGCAGCCCCACTGCTCGCTCCCTTGAAGGAAGCCTGGTGGTGAAGTGGTTAAGTGCTCAGCTGGAACCAGTGGCCGGTTCAATCCCACCTGCTGCTCCTGGGGAGACAGGCTGTCCCCGCTCTGGGCCACAGTCGCTAGCTACATCTCAGGAATGACACGGTGGCAATGAGTTCAGTTGTTTCTCGTGGTTTTGGTATTGCACAGAGGCCCTGGTGGTGTGGCTGTTAAAGCAACTGACCACTAACCCCAAGGTTGGTGGTTCAAACTCATCGGTCACTCCACTGAAGCAGCCTGACCCCAGGGAGGCTCACAGCCTTGGGAACCCTGTGGGGGCAGTTACTTGGTCCTACAGAGTTGCTGTGAGTTAGAATCAATGCCAAGTCTGTGGGTTTTATTTTGGGGTTTGGTCACATCCTAGAGAACAGATTCTCAAACGGGAACCCACCGAAGCAGCACACAGTAGTCCACCTCTGAAAAGTCCACCCACCAGTGAGCAGACAGCGAAGGCCAAACCGCTGCTGGCTGAGGTCAGCACTCCACAGGCAGGCGGGGGCTGGGCCCTGTCACACTCCAACTCCCCCAGGCTCTGACCCCTGACCCAGGACACAGGTACAGCTCCTCCTGCTCCTCTGGTTCCAGGTCTCCTCCACAGCTGCCTGTCCCAGTGCTGGACAAACACCCCCGTCCTGTAAGCTGCCTCTTCGCAGCCCCTCAGCTCACCATAAATGCACTCTACTCCCTCCCCCAGGTCACAAGCTGCCCATCAGTGCAGACGCTGGGCCACCTGGACCCTCATGTCCCTGGTGCGCTGCATCTTCCGAGTGTGTTTGAAGCGCAGATATTTGGGGGTGACAAGAGGATGAGGGCAAGGATGGGAAGAGGCAAAGTTTGAAAACTGTCAGAAAGTTAACAAAAGTCCCAGAACCAGAGAAGGGGGGGACAGAGACAGCAAGAGCACCTCTTTCCCAACCAAAAGACCGACTGTCCAAGCTGCCTGTGGGGTCCCCAGACAGCCCCCTCAGCAACCTGCCAGCTCACAGGACTAAACACCAAGGGCGCCCTGCAAAGACAAAGCCAGGCACCCACAGCCTCCCTTTCTCCTGGGCGCGGGCTCTTCACCACACCCCCATCCACAAGCCACATACACCTCGGGTGCCAGCCGGGCTGCCCTGACCCCTTCCCCGCCACATCAACCCCAGCACAAAGCAGCGCTCTGGAGCCTCCATTTGCAGAAATGAGAAGGCTCAGACGATGTCCCCAAGGTCACAAAGCAAACTGAAGGGTCACCGGGCCCGCAGGGCCCTTCACACCCCATCTCCCACGGAGGCCACGAGTGGGCAGACCCCTTGGATGGGCGTGTCGGGGACTGTGCTCGCCCTCTGTCCATCCGTGTCACGCGTGTTCTCGGGGGCCTGCCCACCCGTGTCCCCGTCCTGGTCAGCTCTGGGGGCTTGGACTGGCCTTGTGTACTAAGGCTGGGTGGGGGTCACTAGGGGCGGGGCGGGAACCCATACGGGGCTGGGCAAGGCCCTGCGGTGGCCAGGCGGGGGTCCGTGGGGAGGTGGATCGAGGTCCCTGCGGGTCTGGACCCAGTTCTGCTGGAAGTTGGGCGGGGGTCTGCAGGTCATCAGGCATGGGGTCTGGGGATCCTGGTGGGGGGTCGGCGAGCAGATGGGCGGGGGCTTGAGGGGGACTGGACAAGGGTCCGCGGGCAGCCAGTCGGGGGTCCCCGGGGAGCACGGCGGGGCCGAGGGAGGCTGGACGGGGTGCACGCGGGGGTCCCTGGAGGCCCGCCCCCCGGCCGCAGGCCCAGGGCTCACCGCCTCCAGGCTCCGGCAGGG